ATCCATTTGTTTTTCGGCTCGCCTCGCCTTTGGCTGACCTACCAGAGAGCACTAGTCTATTAATTAGAGTTACGTAATGAAGGCAATACTACTATGCAGTAATATGATTTTCAACCCTAGGGTGACGTCACAGGCGCCTACATACTTGTTTTACGTGACGCAAAACGGCCACGTCACAATAGTTATGTAAGATCGAAATTAGAGTTACGCAATGAAGGCAATATCACTACGCAGTAATATGATTATCAAGCCTAGAGTGACGTCACAGGCGTCTACTCTCGAGATTGTTTGACGTCACGCGCGTTAGTTGCGCTGTCGGGAATTCATTAAGTCTGAATGCTCTACTGGTTGAGCATTAGGGCTAGAGTTTTTTAGTTTAGTGTAGTCCTTTAGTTTTGAATAAAAATATGTCCAGGTTTGCTATGTTTGTCTGTCCGGGACGCATTTACTATCCATTAAAACTCGCTAGCGTGTTAATGGCAGCCAAGCGTTTCCAAGGGCTTGGAACGTTTGCCAAGTTTCGACACGCATGTAAACCAGCATAAAGTCAACATGCAAGTGGATTAGTGACGTAATCACGCGATAATGTTCTGTTATGCACATAGATAAAGTTGTTACGTCATAAATTGGCACGTGTATCGTAATTGATTATTAATAATTGAGACGCAGTAGGTACATACACACTGCGTCCTCGCACACACATCTGTTTGTTTGCTATGTGATCGCCATGGCGATCAACAAAACATAGACACTACCGTAACAATGTTTTGTCGAAGCCATTCAGTATACTCCTTCTGACTACTCTTGATAAAGCTAGAAGCGATTTTTAACATGAACTCTATTTATTTCAGAATACAGCCACTAAAAATGTTGATAGGTAATTAATTTTAAAACCAATTACATGTAGCCATTTTATGTTCTACACACAGACTACATTCAGAGACTTGTTTTAGATGGTATTGTGTATGTATGTGCTCAATTCATGAAAAGTTTTAATTTAAAATATTTTTCGAACACACAAAACTACCAAGATTGCTTTGTTTATTACAAACACGCAGAATCACAACGTTCTTAAACAAAGAAATTGATGGTTTGCCGTTTTCATTTAGTTCTCGTCGTTTCCTTAGTCGTTTTCCTTTTTAAACATCAACTTTAGTATAAACACAGCCGAATAATAACGCTTTAGATGGTCAGTAATAAAGTCCAAAATCTCATAACTTTTTTAAGGAAATCAAGAGGCTTTATGCATTTTGACATTTGGATACCTTACATAGCTATTGTAGCTGATTATCTTGAAGACTGAAGAGTTTTTGTTGAATTATATATAAAAATACTATTGGTCTAGTTACCTTTAAAACAAAATAAAAATCGGCAATTTTGTTTAGGAGCTATGATGGTCCCGATACTCACGTAAAAGTTATAACACGCCTTTCTTTATTGAAAAAAAAAACTACCCTATTATTAACGAACCAGAGTTTCTAAGAATTAGGGAGCATTTAAAAAAAAGAGAAAAAAAAAAACAGTGCTTGTTAGTCAGCCCACGGAGTTTGGACTCGTATTGATTGCTGCTTGGTTTTTAGTGCTCTTTGTTAGTATTATTTGAAGTCGGTTCAACTTTAAAATAAAAGGATTTATGGCATTGCACATTGACTTTTAACATTTGTGCACGAGGCGGGATCTTAAAAACTAAATTGCGGTAAGGTCATTATGGTCATGAGTACAATGCAAATAACATTAAAGGCCTGTCCATAAACGGAGTTCATGTACATCCGACAGTTTAATCACCTTTGAGTTTGTGTTGTGAAGGGAGACCAATATTCGTAGCATATAGAGTTTTTGTTACTCCATCATTAATTCTAGAAACTTCTTATCTAACCACATGAGTAACTAAATTTACTAATACTAGAGTTTAAGATTAATTCTTGTTGAGTTTTGAATAAGGCCTTGCATAAAACACGCCCCTCAAGATGTGTGTGCCAACACAATAGTTTCAAGTCGGCCACAGAAACCTTGACCTGCTCCATGCAGACCAAAATTTCGCCAACGCAGAATTTACCTCAAGTCTTTTTAATACATCCCTTAAAGAAATGATATTCAATATTAGGTTTACGACTTTCATATCAACTTCTTCAACTGTCATCTTAATGATATATCTTGTACATTCAAAACATTAGACATATTTAGAGATAATATTGGAAGATGCCCAAGACATACACCAAGAGAAATGTTCATCGGTTCAGCTTCAATCAGTAATTAAGTAGTCTATTTTTGTAAAAGTCAACAATCACACTCTACCTTTACGTGTGTTTGACTTTGCGAGGACGGTGACTCAGCTAATTCCTCTAGACTGGATAACAGACTAGTTTAGCTGTAGGATGAAGATACTTCAGAAATTAGACATTTACTAGCGAGATAAAGTAATACAAGCAACGGGCAGGCTATATCAAGAACTAGGGAAGGATGATTAGGATGTGCCGCGAATGGACGAACGTTGATGATAACCATAAAAAGAGAGCTCATGTTAGAGTTAGAGTGCGGCTGCGCAAAATACTTTGTCGTAGTTTTTTTAAGGGATGATCTTTGTAGTGGGCGTCTCATGTTATGAAGTAATAAGAACTAAGAGTTCACTCGCTTTAAAGGTATGAACAGGTCCAAACGTGTTATGAGCAGAAACTATCTGGCAATACTAACTATCTTCCAACTCGAAACTAGTTTCCGTATCATTATCTTTCCAATGAAATTAGTACAAATTGAGGTTATTTTACCTTGCAAGTCTTAAACCGATAACTATATTAACGCATGTTAGAACCGCTTGTATATACACAGCGTTAATAAAAAATAAGTATTGGCGGAAATCGATCGTAGGTAACGATCGCTAACTGTTATTCAAACGTCCTCTGTATCAGGTCGTAGACTTTGTACAACATATGTGCAAATAAAAGTAAAAAAATATATGTTTATAGTGTAGCAAAATCAACTTTTATAGAAAACAAAAGATAATGCGACTATGTTATTAACATTATTTATACATAAATATGTGAAGAGTTACTTGTACGCATTATTAAGAAAAATGAAAAGTGAAAATAAAAAAAAAATCACGTTAACATAAAAAATAAGTTCAAAAGTTACGGCTTAATAGAGATACATGCAGCCAGCATATTTGTTGAAGAAGAAAAGTCAAAGAATGCAGTTCAAATTATACTGAAAATGAATGGGTAAAAACATTTATAATTAAACAAAATAGTCGAATTTTCACAAACAGATCTCAAATTTTAAGTAGAAACCTTTCTTTTTCGATTAAGCTTCGATTAAGACACACAATTTGAGTCAAAATGACGAATGTAGAAAAACCAAAAAGTTTTTAGTCAATGACTAATATACTACAGGTTTATCTAATAAATGAGATTATAAACAAAACAGATTAGAAATATTATTGCCCTGCAGATAAGACATTAAAACTATTTGCTTATCGGGAAACACGACTGAATGAGTCACAACATTCAAACATTTGCCGTATCTCTCCTGATTAGAGGTATCGGTGGTCTTATATAATGACTAGCTGACCCGCGCAACTTCGTCTGCGTCTCTCAATAGTAATAAATTTTCTACGTTTTTGAAACATTCTTCATTGGTGCTCCGCTCCTATTGGCCTTAGCGTGATGATATATAGCCTTCCTCGATAAATGGGCTATCTAACACTGAAAGATTTTTTTAAATCGGACCTGTAGTTCCTGAGATTAGCGCGTTCAAACAAACAAACTCTTCAGCTTTATAATATTAGTATAGATGAGATTATATTATTCCCAGTTATACAAAATCAGAAAATACAGGATATATTTTGCCTTAGAAGAATTTGGAAAATGTAATTTTGGCTAAAAAGGTACCATTATTTAAAAAATAATATAAGATATACAATACGAGCAGAGATATACAAGATATCTGACGAGATTGGTTAGTCCAACCCTGTCGGAACCTCCGTATATTTATATCCTATTAATCAATGCAGTGCAGCAACAAGAAGTGTATGCACTAATTTATAAGTAGTTAAGTTTTATAATCACATCTAAAATAAATTGGATTGCACAGATACTGTATTCGTTCAGGTCCGACCTACACATTATCGTGTAATTAACAGGTTTGTGACCGGTAATGCCTTATAAATGGCGACCTTATTCGTTCGGAATGTTACCATGATTGACTTCTTAACATTCTTAATTACTTTTATTATTTTATCATTCTGTATGTGTCATCAATGTTGTAGTAATTTGCAATAAACTGGCTGGTGAAGTAAGGAGAGTCTTTCAGTCAAAAATAAAGATATTACATACAAGATACACCTTTGCATACACCTTAACTAAATTATTTACAAAAATATGTTGAACACTAGCCAATAGCTACTAATAAAATTGTACTATTTACTGAATCACATTTTGGCACCATATTCATCCTTTGACAAAAATATTTATGTGACACCTTGGAAAGTCTTCTCCTCATTGTGGCTGTAGTGCTTTCATTCTTTAGAGATTTATCCCACGTACATATAAAAACGAGTAACAACAGAGCAACTCGCGAACACACTTTTACTGCATGGCGTGAAAATTCGATTCCTAGAGAAAGTTAAAGGGTCTTGGAAATTGAACTTCTTATGTCATGAAGGCATGCATCTTTTAATTCCCTGAACATTTATTAACTACTTAGAAAATCACAAAGGGAACTTTCCGGTAGTAAGTAGTCAGACCAGACTTACATAATTATTCAGGATGATTTAGTTACACGATGGAACGATATGACCAAAATAAAACTATGGAGATTCGACTTTTTACTGTGAACATCTAGAATTTAGGACTAATCAGAAAAAATACCGTCTGCTATATTTTGCTAATTTCTAGCATTATAACTATATTTTCCAAAAGATTCTCGAACACCTAGTTTCTGCCCTTGTTTTAAATGAGTAATTTGTACAAAAGAAGGTAGTTTTATAGGCGATAAATTTAAATTACCTGCGTCATCGTGGTTGCTCTTGAGGTCCGACTGTCCTGAAGTTTCGGAGCAGTTGTCGATAGTCATATCAATGCCTGCGTCTTCGTCCGATGAGTACGGCAACTCAGTTCTTCTGTGCTCTGCAATAATAAAAATGTTTTGTTAGTAAATTACTCATACGACGATACCAAATAAGGCTGGAACTTGCATGGAAAAAATACATGTCATTTTTAAATTAAGCACATGGCAAAATGCAACTTTTAAATGTATTAAAGATAGGAAACAATTGTGTAAAAATGGGATCTTAAACAATGTAATAATTATATCAGGAATGATACTTTTGTAAAAGGTTTAATTCTACTTCTTTGTCAAACATCTTTTTTAATGGAACTGCCAAAAGGTTATCAGTTCGACACGTATGTGTATGGTATTATTGGAACTGCTAAGTATTCACTTTCTACAATAAAAGAAATTTAGATTCGTAATTCGTTTATAACCTACTTTTAATTACGTTTTTAACTGACTTTACGAAGTAATATATATATTTTTTAAGTATAGTATTGAAGTGTATTGTTCTTTTATTTAGTGTATAAGAAATATTATTTCAGAGTTTAACGTATATATTTGGCTCATATATCAGGAAATGAGGCTGAAACACCAATGTCTCCTAATAGAAATGTGTAGCCCGGGTGTTCAGCCTAGGGTACATAGCAAAGTTTTCTGACTATAGTCCATCAACGTCGTGCGCGACCGTCCTGCGGGGTGACAGACGGTGGCGGGGACGAGGTACTCAAGATGTCAGCGGGTAGCGGGTGGTGTAGCGGGGAAGGGAAACTTGTGTAGCCGTGTGCTAGAATGACGCGCTACCTCGCCCCCGCCTGTCACCCCGCGGGACGGTCGCGCACGAGATTGCCGGGTTATAAGGAGTTGTTAGTTTAGTACTAGTTCATGGATTAGTATCGAGTGTATATATCGGTGTTAATGATGGCTGCCGTACCATCGTTACGTTAGCGTACCATGATTACTATTCCACCGAAGGTTAGTAATTCAAAGTTATTCTATTCTGAGCGTGTTAGCGTGGTTTACGCTCGAAACTGTATCAGTATATTAAATTTTAAGTTTATGTGGGTATACTGTTGTCCGATACTCGAATTATTTTACTGTAATGTGTCTTGACTTGGTTTATAAGGTATATAAAAAATAACATGTATGTATAACGTCAAATTAATATATGTTTACATGGTGTATATGGCTTGAAGTAGTTTCTTAATAGAGACTAGCTGAGACCCGCGGTGTTACCCGCGTTTGTTGTTATAACCGCGGGCAACGCCGCGGGGCGAAGCTAGTCTAAAAAAAAGTAGCCTAAGTTACTTTTTTAGTTAGCCTTATGTCATCAGCTATCTGCCAGTGGAAGTCCCGTCGAAATCGGGCCAGCTGTTCCAGAGATTACCCGGAACAAACAGACAGACAGACAAAAATTGTAAAAAATGTTATTTTGGCATATGTACCGTGTAAACATACATATGCATTTAGTAAAAAGCGGTTATTTTAATATTACAAACAGACACTCCAATTTTATTTATTTGTATAGATTTAACGGTAGCACGTGTGAACAATGTAGGCAGTAATATTGTTAAAATTGTATTATGCGGTTGATAGCTGTCGTCGCGTGTATTCGTGTCAGTTCCACTTCACTACGAGGCGGAGACCTCTGCTATCGTACTGCAGTTTCTCTGTTGTTATTTAGTTCTATGGTTACTATGTTAATTTACAATCAATATAGTTAGTATATTGTTTTGATTTGATTACATGCTCTAGTAGGTAACTACGCAAACAGTTTAGAGATTTTGTTACTGATTTCGTACGTAATAACACACTAAAAGTACGCTTTTCGACGTTATCGTGATTTTTCTTTTCCTTAGTGTTATTAGCTTTGCTTTATTCCTGGCAATATATAGCCAATGTCATGACGAACGGTATGACAGCGCATAAAATAGGAACAAATAAGCATTGATTTATTTATTACTGAACGAGTTTAGCCGAAAGTTAATAAAAGTTAGAGGAAGCTTGAAAGTAAGATGCCAATGGAGGAAAAGATGCTGGTATAGACATGTCAACAAGTGATGCGTAGAGAAAGATGGGTGGACTGCGCAAAAGACGATATGGTAAAGTAAAGTAACGAGTGACAGAATAGAATGGAAGAAGAAAACGTATTGCGTCTATCCCGAATAAGTTTGAGAAAAGGACTAGAAGTCAGAAGATGATGATGAACTGTGTGTCAGTATGTTACAACTGCAGGTAGATGTTTCAAGGTGTCCATAAGCGTGAACAGCTTCTATAAATAATATATATCAAGGTGAACGTTGTTACAAGAGAGGGAAAACTTGAAACAAACCCTATTCAAACCTGTCTGGCCAACGTGGTATATTAGATCAAAACCTCCTTTCTAAGGAGGCCTATGTCTAGTAGTGGACTATTATAGGCTGTTGATGTTACAACATTAAAATTTCATCAGCTTTAAATTTCATTATGTAATTGAAATTGTTATCTTGATCCAGCACAGTTTAGTAAATATTCACAACACATTCTAATGGGTATTTCGCAAGTTACATTGTGGTGTTTAAAGGTCAGTAAGTCAGTGAAGAAACTCGGAAGAGTTCTGACCGACTGCACAGATGGCGTAGTGGTTTAAGCGGTCACCACGCCGCTTACTACTACGCTGAGTGTTGTGGGTCAGATCCCCACATGGGACGACGCTTTGTGTTTTCCACAAATTGTTTTTGAGTCTGGGTGTTCTTTGTGTCCGTTTCATGTATGTTTGTGAAGTCCCCCGCGACACAGAATATATTTCTAGTGCGGGAGTAGTCTTTACAAAATAAAACAAGAAAACAAGAGTTCATAATAATACTAGCTATTGCCTGCAGCTTCGCTCCCGAGATTCTTTCGTATTTGGTGTTTCTAACTTTGAAAATGACGACCTTTGATACAACCGTTCATCTCTTATCTCTTTAGGGTTGCGACTTCCAAAAATCCTTTTCGAGTGGGTGCTTCCTGCATAAGAAGCTTCAGCTGCCAAAATTTCAAGTTTATGGTCCTAGAAGTTTAGGGTCTGCGTTGATGAATCAGTCAGTCAGGAAAAGTCATTTTATATGTAGATAGGTCCTATCTTTTTTATTATTATTTTAACGGAAAGGAGTTCCTTTCCGTTAAAATTAATGTTGCAATATTTATTAAAGTGTAACCTCTCGCTTTCGTGAGATATTCAGTGAAAAGCAGATTCATTACGACGCTTAGTTTTATATATTATTAATATTTAAGTATAAGTATCCATATTATACAATTAGTATTTGTGATTAAAGAATAAAAAAAAAAGGACGGAAGTGTGTAATAGGAAGCAGGGGAAGCGGGCGCCATTTGTTTTGACAAAAGACGCGCGCGGTGCTCGAGTTGGCGTCAGATGGTAGGTAAGGTGTTACATAATATATTATGCCACTATTGTAAGGCTCATTCGTTTTTATTATTTAGCTAATAAACAATAATTCTAGATTTTTTACATAAACTAATTTGTGTTTGGTTCGAATACACTAGTCTTATTGTTTTCTTTTACAAACATTTCGCATCGTTTTTTTTTTCAAGTCGGTATATTAAGAATCTGCAGAAGTTTTCTGTCAACCTCTTTGGTTAAAAGGTACTCCAGTAATATTTTTGTAGAAGGATGCTCTATAGTTTTCCGAACAGTATGTGTATATGTCTCATTTTTTATTGAATTATTAGCACTTTTATTTTAATTTTCTTTTAAGTAAGTATTTACGTATGACTCTGATTATATTATGAAATGTATGAATGTGTTTTAGTCATTTTAAACAATGCATCATGATATCTTGTTGTGAAAGTAGCAGAGAAAGCTTAGCAACATTCAGTGTAAAAAAAATAGCTAAATGCAAGCTGAACTTCTGTGAAGAGATGTATCTAATCCGAGTATATATTCACAAAGCAATTATTGAAAAAAAATCTACTATGTTTATTGTGTCCACTAATAACAAAATTGCTTGAAAAAAATGAAGAGACATAGATAAGAAAAAAACCAGTCTATTTCTCATAAAATTTAAAGATTATTAATATTTCTTTAAAATAAATTGTTACGTCGTACGTAGAAAGTGTTACGTCACACCATGCAAAACATTGTTGTTTAATTTTTCATACAACAGAGCAGGTTGGTCCTTTTTTTTTTCGTTGTTAGCATATTTTCTCACCTTAATACAGTTTTGTTTTGCAGTCTGCGACGTCATTCAAGATGCCATGACTTTTTTTTTATAATATAGGTATTTTAGGATAAAATAGATAATAATGGAGAAAGACCAATTCTTATATCAAGCCTTTGACCAATATAAATAAGTAATTGCATATGCAGTTTAATTTTTATGGAATTGACCAGAAATGTGACATATTAATTAGTAATTTACTTTTATTAACAACTTACGATCTACCCCGGCTTTGCAAGGGTGCAATGTAGCTACTACTTATGTGGTGTCAGTTTAGAGTAATTAATTATACAATCCTAGTTCTAGTTCGGAGTCCTAGTTCCTTGAATAAAGAAACTTATCATTTTTTTTAAATTAGTATTAATTGTTGTTTTGTTTTTCTGCAATCATACTTTGTGTATTTTTAACAAATTGGGACTAAGCAACTTTGCTCTTAGGATTCTCAATTCCTTTTATACCCTTACCAGTGTATAATTAGTTACTTAAAACAATACAGAAATTAATCCAGTTACAGGTTGTAAGCGCCAGGTATACTTAAACCCAAAATGCACAATTAATAAACAATTAGAAGTCATTTACTAATAAAAATCCCAATGATAAGTAATTACAACATAGATTAATCATAAATTCTTTTATATTCTGTTATCAAAGTAGTTTTAAACAACATTTAAGTTTTATTACAGATGGAAAAAAAATTGTTTTGCTTAAAACTAGTTACGTAATAGATCATTAAAAATGTATATCTATGGATCTGAATCTTTTGACACCCTCAGATATTCTTAGATAATATTAACCTCATGCATCAAGGTTTTATAAACAAAAGCATGTCATTGTTAGCTGAAATTTTGACAAGGAAATAAAATAAGTGTCAACCGTTTGTAATGAATTATGGTATGCTTAAGTTTATGTTCTTGATACTTGACACTATAATAAACATATTTAGGCTATAATAGTGATATTTATATTCAATATGTAAGCAGAAATAGTATAGAACACTTTGTTATTGTAACAATGGATGTTTGACTTCCTGATAACAAAGGTAATTAATTTTTCACCCAACAAAGAAGTCTAAATGTATTAGAAACAAAAGAATTAGATTATTATTCTAAAACAGTATAAAAAAAGATCTTTGAACCTTATATGTTTACAAATAGATGCTCATATTAAAAACTTTTTATTGTTTCAATAAACCATAAAAAATATATTACAAATAGTACATATTCACCGATCGACACATTTTAAGAATAAACATTGTATGATGTATTTTCTGGCTCTTTTTTTTACTTTATATTTTTCCCGATATTCTTTTGCGCACTTTTAAATTTAATTTCTCAATTACAGCAATAACTGTTTGGAAATTTATGACATTATGTAAAATTATGTAATTTGTCCTATCTTAATATTGCCAACAAGGGCAAATACTCAAACAATCAGATAAGCAAAAGTTTTGTTACACAATATTGTAAGTACTTGTGGACGAAGCATAGCCATAGGGAAATTAAATGTAGCGATCTTGTAACGTTATGATACCACGAAGGTAAAATGCATGGGGAATGGAGAAAGTTGTTTGCGAAATCTCGCAATTGCTTAATTGGCGAAGGCTGTCGTTAGGTACACCTAAACATATGGTACTTAGCAGCCAGGGTATTAGCCTTGAGTATAATGACCGTGAGCAAATATAAGTAAACGTCACTACACACGTCCCGCGGAAAGTCCACCAGCACAAGGTCGCCGCGTGATCTCATTCTTGGCGGAATCCGTGCTGTTTCACGCACTACATAACCAAACTTTATGCACTTTCTATGTCAAATTAATAAACACTTACCGTATTTTCCTTTTTTCTTTCCTTTCGGCATGATGATTTTTTTTCCTAATGAAGCTTACAATAAACTCTAAAATATGTATTCACTCTTTATTTAAACTAATTATGTCACTTAATCAAGACGGAGAAAAGTTTAATATATCAGTTCTTGTGGAACGATGTGTGCACTGAATGTAACATAAAACTAAAATTTCAGAAAAACTTTTTAACATGTTTAACCGTGTAGCATGCACACTCGACTTCCCGTAGCGCAATGCGCTGTCACTTTTGTATTTAAAGAGCAGAGGCGGGGGCATTCAGTGACGCCATGTTGAAATTGGATGTTGCCAGTACACAAAGAACGAAATACCTTTCAAAAATTTTAAAAGTTTTATTTAAAACAATTGACCCTGAATATATTTCGAAGTATATAAATACATTATTTTGTAGTCTATGTGCATTGTTAGTAAATTATATTTTTTGCAATTTAAACAGTAGGAGTGATTTAGATAGTTGACAATACCTTAGTAATACCCTTATAAGTAAGTAAATTTATCTACTGGCAACTGTTTATGATTGCATCGCTTTTGCTCTTTTAGTTTTTAAACAGAATTTCAGAATGACTAATCTATGTATTGGTAAAGAAACAATGATTGCGAAATAAATGGAAAAGTATTTCATACATTGTGTAATTAAAAGTAACGGAAATGAAAATAATAAAAACTTATACGTGTTTTGATTTGGTTAATTTTTCAAAACATTAACCGTATGCATGGCAAAAAAAACAGGGATTTTTGATTATTGTTAGATACCAGAAAATATTTTTTATGTTTGATCAATGTAGAATGTTGGTATTAGGTATTGAGTACCAACACAATATTTAGTTGGTACATGATATAAGACCCTGAAAAATGGTACGTAAACCAAGAAGTTGGTACGTCTAACATCCCTGCTACGTGGTAACTATTCCGTATTGCGCAATGAAAGTTCTTGCATTCATACCAAACGTTAACGTAAGAACGAGGACCTAGTTTTGGACTTGATTCTCTGGTCATTTAGATGTTCGTAGCACCAGTGCTTTTGCTAAACGCATTGCAATTTAATCTCCAAATCACAATCGCTGTCCTTCGAGTAAATCCTCCCCCCCCGCCCCCCAGAATCAGAAAGGTGGAAAGCAAGGAAAGAATTGCTTAACACCGGTGATAGTAAATAAATATTACATAAGGCCAGCTGAGGAAAGTTGGACAGTCATTTTTTATTTTGTGGAAATGTGCAATATTTTGAAACTATCAAACCTCTGTCATCACGAGTACATCGGGTATACGGCAAAATTCTACGTAATACAAAAAGCGTCAGAAAGGTTAAAAAAATTGCGTAATGTTATTGTATCGATTTGTTCTGGCTACGTCACTCGTGATGTCGTCATCGCCTACCGACGTTGCCTATTGCGTCATAATAGAAATAACCCGACACATCTCACGCACGACCGTCTAGTCCTAAAGTAGGCAGAGGATGTATTTATATTTTTCTAAACACATACGTATTATAGATAAATAAATAATAATAACACCAAGACAAAGAACGTGTTCATCACGCATTATTTGACGTGGGCGGGAATCGAACCCACAGCTGTCGGGCTTAGCAGTCAGGATCACAAACCAACAGGTCCTTCATACTTACAATATTTCACTCTAGTTTATTTAAAAAGTATTTGAGTATTATATAATTTAATTATTACATTGTGGCGCCCCCGCCACCGTCTGTCACCCCGCAGGACGGTCGCGCACGACGTTGATGGACTATAGTAGACCCGTTATGTATGTATGTGAAATAAATTTCTCCCGTTTTTGCAACATTTTTCATTGATGGTCGGCTCCTATTGGTCGTAGCGTGATGTTAAATAGGCTCTAGTGTATTTTGATAAATGGGCTTTAGTACATCTTTCTCTTTTTCGCGAAAAACTCTACGTAAAATCTGGGTAGGTACGGAACCCTCGGCGCACGAGTTCGACTCGTACCTGACCGGTTACCGACAACTCCCGACACTTTACATTTCGCACCTTTAAAGACAAACCGTTACTAAAAGAAATTTTTAGAGAATTGAGTTATTAATACCATCTTTCTTAAAACTACGTAAACTATACGATGAGTTTGACTCTGTTCAAAAAAATCCAATTTTAGACATAGATGGCGTCGGTTTTGACCGTTACAAAACTAAATAAGATTTGCTTGCTAAATGCAATATCGCAATATCGTGTCTATACTAATTGTGAATTGTTCGTTAAAGAGTGATGACGGAAGTTTAGTGACAACTTGCTGTGGTTTAAAACTAGATACTGAATAAAGACTGATTATTAAGACATCCTAGCAATGCTAAAGATTTAAGTGCCATAACGTCAAAGAAATGTATGGATCTCGCGTTTTAAATGAGAATAAAACATTGATTAGAATGTGTTATTTTATTTATCTGTCCAGTTACAATTTGAGCGAATGCTAATTATAATATTTTCAATTTAGTAGTATTGTAAAATCATTATTATAATGGGTTTTCAAGTATTTTTATATTTTGATTTGATGTTGTTTTGAAGCGTACATATTCATCAATAACAGTTATAAAAATGTCCGGTTGCCGAAGTTATCACGAAAAGTATGATACAAGTCAGGAAACAGAAAACCAGTATCTATTGTGGTTTCTATTGTCTAACCATTTAATTGATTAGTTTGCGGTATATTTTATAATAGATAATAGGGCGATGTATCTACATTTTGCACTCAGTTTAAGGGGAACTTTAATAAACAACATGCACACCACTCTCATTTATCAAATAATTTATAAAGAGAGAAGGAGAGGCCTATGTCCAGCAGTGGACTGTTAAAGGCTGTTGATGATGATGATATAAAGAGTGGCTTCCTTTAATGTCGCCACTACAGATTCGTAATAAACTAAACAGACGATTGACTGTTTCGTATCTTCGCTGTATTTCAAAATGTCTATTACTTTTAAGTGTTCAAAGCTTGCTTTTTCATACATTGAAAAAGCAAGCTGAACGGAATTTTATTCCTCGACGATGGGCAGAAGCGTCGAGGAAAAGGGAAACATTTAAAAAAAAGTACGATTGGTTGCATTTAGAATATTTGGTAACTTTACCGAACTCAGAAGTAGCACCTGATATTTCGCTATCTACTTCTTTTTTAAAACGCGACCGACCGTCTCTTATGGTGACCGCGAATAAAAAAATACCGTGCTACTCAGCTATTATGGCTTTGAACACATTTACAATGCCTTTGTTCAGGGATTAAATCCAATAGGAGAAGGAATAGAAGCAAAACTCGTGGAAAGCCTAAGGCTTGCTGATAGTGATACCAAGGCAAGAAAATATTTGAATCTTATCTCTAAGGCAAGCCAGAGCAAAATGCTAATGGATCAAGAGGCATTAATGATAAAGATTTAACGAAAGCACAATATATGTATTTAAGCAATTTACCTAACGAACGAAGCTGTTATATATTCCCACTATATTATAAAATACAAGAAATCAAACAAAGATGTTATCCACCATCTTCAGAATGTTCAGTAGAAATTACAAAGAAACATGCAAAAATACTGAATCTTCAAGATTTATTGGACCATACTGCAGCTAGAATTTTAGTTATAGATTTGGTGAATAAGAATAGATTATACAGTAAATGGGAATTTGATGGTGGGAATGTTATATTCCTAATATGTGGGTGGTTGCATCCACCCCTAACATATACATTTATATATATATAAATGTCGTATCGCTTGACAAATAAACTCTGTGCGAATCCAGCTATAGGTCGTTTCACTAGTCCCTGTGCGCATATATATCATTCTGGTCAAAGTCAGTCCAAACAAAAACTTAAAGAGGAGTCTGAACTTCTATTTTTGATTACATCTTTAGTGCCTATCAAATTACTGAATGAGATAACGGCGATATTCTCTGGCTAAATCCAGTGCCTTCGTCAGTCCGTTATTGTCGGCCTATATCAATAGAATTTTGCAAAGAAACTCCTTAAAAAACTTAAGCTGATGTGGATGAAATAAAGAACCAAATCATTTCCTTGGGGCTATCGTTGAAGAAGGTGAAGGAGTGAATATGAAGCATGAACTCTTTATGACAATGGTACATGGCAAAGTAGCTCAAGTATTAACGGATATACCTTCTGGTTCCACATGTTCAATTTGTGGAGCTACTCCACGGCAAATGAATAATCTCACTAAATTGACTGCTAGGCCAGAAAATGAAAATTCATATCAATACGGGCTTTCTACATTGCACATATCTACTTTACTTATAAATTAGTATTATGTAACTTTGAATATTTAATGAAATATTTTTTGCAATCATAACTTTTAATTACTAATTAAAATTGGTAAGTTGCTTTATTATTATAGTTTTATAATAAAGTAATATAATAATAACTTTTTTTATACAAAATATAAATAGTGTTGTCCCTAAGAAAATAAAATGAAGGTCATTTCTAATTTTTTTTTGTTTTCATCATTTTTAAAATATTTAATACTCTAAAAAATATAGCATCTGGACTTTATCTAAAGCCTTATGTAATACTCTATGCTTGCGCAAAATTCAATCAAAGACGATTGACGAATAAAAAAGTTATCGATTTTTGATCTGACATCTTACTGATTTTTGAACATCATCATCATCATCATCATTACCAGCCTTTACTAGTCCACTGACGGACATAGGCCTCTCCTTAGAAAGGACTGATTTTTGAACAGACCTCGATTTTCCATAGTGGACCGGCAGGATCGAAGCGCACCTATAAATATTGCATATAAAGATGTCCTGAAGTATAGTCCTATCACAATAATAGTATAATTAATTACTCCACACTAACACCACATTAGTAGTATCTACATTGCACCCGTGCGAAGCCGGGGCTGATCGCTAGTAATATATATTACAAGTAGTGATGTGCCGGATCGTTAACAAAGTATATCCGCGGATACGGATCTAAATACGGATATTTGGTGTCAAGATCCGCGGATACGGATACGGATACGGATCTTAAGTTTCTTACTCAATCGGAGCCCGTGACCTTGATAGTTGTCGCCACTTGACGTTTTGCCGTTGATATTTAAATATTTCATTATTTTAATAAGCTAATACAAAGATGTTTGATTGATCTCATTATAAAGATAGCTCTTTCAGTACCTACGACCTGCCTAGTTGATTTAGTGTAGTACGATAAATGATTGCAATACAAAGGTGCCAAATATTTGTTTTAAGAAATAAAAAGTAATCTGAACAGAATTCAATAGTTTTTCATAGCTACCTAATAACTATTATTCAGGGTTACTTTAAATTTACTGAAAACCTCTGAAGTGCATATTAGTAACATTATAAACAACAACTTTTCTTCTGGACTAACACCGAAAACGAAAGAAAAAAAATTGTTTCTCCATACAAACTAACAACATTTGATTGGTCATTTGAATGGAGGACCAATTTTTTTATTTTGACGTTGGCCAGAAAAAAAGTTGCTGTGTATAGTGTTACAAACACATACCTAAGAGTTTTACAGTGATTACGAAATCACCTATATAGAATTTCATCTATGTAATATGTATTGAAAGTCCGCCAAAAAAGTCACGGATACGGATACGGTTACGGATCTCTCTTCTCCTTTGAATATCCGCGGATACGGATACGGATACGGATATCCGGCACATCACTTTACAAGTATGTGTTAAAAAAAAAAAGTTTATTCATATTCTAAGAGCGTACCATTATTTGTTTCTAATCAGGTTTAGAAGGAGCTGTTTAATAAATTTGAGACAGTGTCAGACAGTAAATGGGTCACCTGATGGTAAGCGATTACCGCCGCCCAAGGACACCTGTAACTCTAGAGTCACGAGTGCGTTGATGCCTTTTGAGTGCCCACTTCAGAATTAGATTGAGGGGTGGAGTTAAGCTCCGGTTACCTCACTCACTTGGTGCAAACTAGCAAGAATTATTTAACACCAGCAGTACTATTCTCTAAGGAAACATCATTGCGTCACAGCGTCTAACTTCAAACTAACTTAGTTTGAAATTCGATGCTGTGACAGCGGTGTAGCGTCGAATTTCAAACGATAAGTTCTGTGGCAGCGCTGTACGCCTTTCCTTAGAGAATAGCACTGCAGTTCTCCGGTTGAGTCAGCCCTTCGTCATATTTGGGGTGGCTCTCCCAGGGTAGAACACGGTTCAGTGTTCAGGGTAACTACTTAATAAAAATATACTAGTTGGTGTCCGCAACTTTATCTGCATAAAATTAGGATTTCAGATTATCCATTTGTTGTCCAAGCTTTTAACGATTTCAGCATTAATTGTGTAGGTGTAGTAGTAATCTCTATAAAAATAAATTTCTTAGTTCCCGTTATTCTGATACAGAGAAATTCATATATTTTAACTTGGGAAGCCGTTGAATGCGGGCAGCACAGGACCGGTTGTTGTGGAGAGTCTTGGGGGAGGCCTATGTCCAGCGGTGGACGTCTTTCGGCTGAGATGATGATGACGATGAAACATGACAAATCTTACATGTAAATTTGAATCTCTTTCACAACCTTAAAGGTCTATTTAGCATTTTACTACAATAAATGTGTTTTTTTTAAATATATTATCTATCTATTTACGAAAATTAATCCAAACAAACTCTTCCGCACACATCATCATCATCATCAACAGCCTTTAATAGTCTACTGCTGGACATATTTATGCCTCTCCTTTATATGGTTTGGAGGTTTATGCCACCACGCTGGCCAGACGGGTTTGTATAGGGTTTGTGTCCAGTTTCCTTCTCTTTGAAGTGCTATTTTCTTGCGTAGTCTGCTTCCTTAGTCAGCTCTTACGACACCCACGAGATGAATAGGGGTGGCGACACTCTGTATTCTTAATCCGTCACCACACGGATCACACAGATCTTCCACACTGACTTTGATATTCTATTGTACCACCTCCAAGGTTTATTTTCGTTATAAAAACTGATAAACTTGGTCACCTTAAAAATTTCTGCACTAGATTCATATTTGGTTTACGCAAATATGATCGTGTAACCGAATTTTGTAAATTGTTCAAGTGGCTCCCAATTCGATTTTGACGGAATATGTAGCCTCAATACACCTAGACTACCCATTGTTTCTCCTCATCTACTGTCGATTTGTCCATCCACAGGTTGTCTGTAGGAGATTGCTTTTAGCGATAAGGTCGCCCGTTGTACATATCCGCCTATAATATTTATCTGTACAAATAAATAAAATTGGAGTATCTGTTTGTAATATTAAAATAACCGCTTTTTACTAAATGCATATGTATGTTTACACGGTACATATGCCAAAATAACATTTTTTACAATTGTTGTCTGTCTGTCTGTTGGTTCCGGGTAATCTCTGGAACGGCTAGACCGATTTTGACGGGACTTTCACTGGCAGATGCATAGCTGATGACATAAGGAGTAACTTAGGCTACTTTTTTTAGACTAGCTTCGCCCCGCGGCGTTGCCCGCGGTTATAACAACAAACAAGGGTAACACCGCGGGTCTCAGCTAGTATAACATATAGTAATTGGTGTACAATTGGTGTAAAAAGTATCTAAAAGGTACGTAAGCACCCAAGGCTAGATGATCTAGCCTTATTTATTATTAAAATTCCTAACGCGTCGGTCTCTGTCTCTGACAGACGTCGAAAGCGGTTTACTCCAAAACTATCAAATTTATTTTCATAAGGTTTTCACTCATGGTTAGAATGATACAGTAGGAAAATGTTAGGTATATAGTACCTCAGGTTTCACTAAACCAATAGAGTAATATAAAAACATAGTATTACGAAATGATTTATCTTAAGAAAATCTATTAAAATAAATATCTATCTTATGTAATTAATACACAATAATTTAAAAATCTTCTTTTAATTAGATAGTATATTTGGTTGTATTTTTGTATAACTAATCTGGATTAAATTGACCCTGTCCCAAATAACTCAGATCAGTAATTTTTACTCATTAATTTAATAAACAAAGAAAAAGGGAATCAAAATCGACATTACCATAGAAAAAAGTAATGTGGTCTGTTAAACGTGAAAAGTAGGTAGTATTTGAATAATTATGTTTTAGTTTTTATTATCAAGAAATTGTGATACAATCAATAAATCAATAATATTGTTTTGCTTGTGGGTAATATCAGACGATTTGCAGCTCTATTAGTAAAATAATACAAGGAGTAAAAGAATTGTATTATTTTACTCTTTACCTCTTTCACGAATATCATCAACTTTCCCCTGTGTTTGGGACTCGTCAACTAAAACCGATACTTATTGATTTCTAAATATGATCAACAATGCTTGTTAGAGGACGAGACGCAATTTTAGTAAAATTTCCACTCGCTTTTTGTTACTGTATAATTCTAATATCTATTCATAGAGATTCTTTGGCACAAAAACATACATCTACTATTTAAACATGCATCATTCATATTACTTTTATAAAAGAAAAATAGACAATTATGATATTAGTTACCTAGAAACAATTCCTGGATCTAAAAAGTACCAGAAAGGTTGTATTGGTAGATATCATCACAGATAAAGAAATATTCTACAACATACATCTAACCGATAGGCAAACATTCCTTAAAATCTGCATTTCGCAGTTCGTATAATAACAATAAAAAGCATGACCAGTTTAAAAAGGACATTCAGCAACCGCCACAGTTACCGTAAGTTGCTAATATTTTAAAACAAATACAAATAAACTAATTAAACTTAAATGTCCTATACTAACACTTGAACCATTTTTCGAAAACTTCGAATCATTTTTTCGAATATTTCCAATTTCATTCCAATGGGCCTTCACTTCCTTGGAACCGTATATTTTACCAAATCGAAACTCTGCACACTGCACTGTCACCGTGGGCGGCAACCCCAAGAAAATGAACCGAGTGCTTTTCCTCTTCAACGTTGCAGAACCCCTCATGTCTTCGACTTCACGACCGTTGATGTACCAACGAAGTTCTGAGTCCTGCGCTCCTCGGCAGTATGCCTGTATTGTATCGTCTTCGCCGTACTCTTCAGCCAATCCTTCCAGCAACGGTTTTCTATGCTCGTGTCCGTGGACCGCCATATAAGCTGTTCTTGTTTCAAATCTATATGGTGGCACATCTCTCTCTATATCGCATCTGTATAATCCGGTAGCTTCTTCAGTGAGCGCTCCAAGTCTTAACCGGCAGGCTGTCGGTCCACAAGCTAACAATTCCACTGTACCTACTCCTAGAATGGGGAACGACCTAGTGCTGGGCGCCGCTCCAGGTCTATATCTGAAGAATTCGTTGGGTCCTTTGAACCAGCTGAGAAGAGTGAAGTTGGCGTCGTATCGGCACTCAATGTCGACTTCTTGCTGTCCTGGTGGAACGATTTCAGGCACTATGAGATGTGTGATGTTAAAGGGTCGCGCGTATGCGATGCTCGCGATCGCCGCGAGATGTAACACTAGGGTTGCTACCGCCAGCATGATGCCTCGACGCACGCGCAGCTCGCACTGCGCCCGCGCGCTCCCTAAGTTAACTCACGCCGCTAACGCTCTCTTAATTAAACAGTTTATTAAACTCCGACACTTAACCGTTGGCCGGACGAACGGATCCCTCATTGATTTTTTTTTTCCAAATTTAATTTATAGACAAATTCGTTTCGCTAGGGGTGGCTGAATTATCACCACTAGCAATTAGTTGGGACGGTCTGCCCACTTCCTATTAATTAAAATTTCGAAGTAAAAGATTTTGGTAAAATTGAATTTTGAATGTTTAAATTATTGTTTATTCAAAACTTGATACATTTAGTTATGAAATAATTTTCGATCTTTTCGTTTTCTCGTTATCTATTTCTTCGTTATCGGCTTGCACGTAGGTCGTGTACATTAAAGACGTATGCGATTAACACATGTTTATCAAAACAATGTAAATAATTCTATGAATCAACTGCAAAATATCAATATTGCGCAAGTGCTATTCAATTTATTTACGGTCCATTGCACCACAATGCAAAAACAAGACGTGCGATCGCGTCGAGGGGTTAAGGCACCTCCCGGCTCTCACGAATTACGCACGATATGTGTCATCTAATTTTGCCAAACGAGACTTATGAGCAAATAAAATAGGAGATATCCGTTGTACTGAGATTTTCTAAGAATACTTAGGTATTAAAATAGGGTTCTTCCTTTGATGACGTTATGAACTCTACTCTATTCATTTTATTTAATCTGTGAAATGGGTTACTAGTAAAGGTGAAGGTCGTGATCAAATCTTTCTAATGTTCTAAATGAAAAGGCTTATTTTAAGGCTCGTATTTTTAAGGAATATTAAACTTTCGTAAAGTTTTTCGCACTAGAAATATATACTACAAACTCCCCGCACTAGAAATATATCCTGTGTAGCGGGGGAGTTCACAAACATTTATAAAACATCCAGACTCAGTAAAACAATATTTGTCACACAATGTGTTATCCCATGTGGGGATCGAACCCACAACATTCCGAGCAGTAGGAAGCGGCGAGGTGACCACTTAGACCACTACATCATCCGTGCAGTCAAGATTTGCATGCCCATACATACTTTCTTTATACATACGAAGAACGCTGTGTAATGATAGTATGTATGTTCAACAAATAGTATCGTTAACTAAAATAATTTAATGATAACATCTGTCGAGACGTTAAATAGTTACGTAATAATTAGCGAAGTGACTGTGCCAAGCCACATTGTTGTCCTAATTGTGTACCAGAGTCTGTAATATTTTTTTTATTGTGCTTTTGATTCATCCTCGTCTGTTGGTATTAACAATCACGATGTGTGGATGTGGTTTATTTAAAGGCAACGACTTACAAATATAAACACAGGACGCCTGAAAGGCAATATTTATTAAGCGACAAAAGTAGGTACCAACATAAAATGAGTGGTATATTTTTCTGAATCGTTGGGTAACTCATTTAAGTAGTTTGGCTTAGTAAGGAATAATTTCAAAGCGTGGAATGATTATCTTGTTCTCATGAATTTATTTAATAAACTAAGATATAAAGTGTGGTGACGGATTAAGAATACGGAGTATCGCCACCCCTATTCATCCCGTGGGTGCCATAAGAGCCGACTAAGGGAGCTAACTACGCAGGACAACAACACTGCAAAGAGAAGGAAAACTTGAAACAAAATCTATACCAATCCAGCGTGATATTGTTGGCCAAAACCTGTTTCTTAAGGAGATGCCTATTTCCAGCAGTGGACTATTAAAGGTTGTTGATGATTGATGATGACCATTTTTCAATGTTCAGAGACTGAAAAATTTGAAAATTTAAAATGTGAGATGTAATCTCAAAATTTATATTTACAATATAAAACAAATAAACTCTATACTAATCCGTCTGGCCACCGATGTTGGCTATATTGTTGGCCAAAACCTCCTTCCTAAGGAGAGGCCTATGTCCAGCAGAGGACTACTAAAGGCTGTTGATGATGTACTTGAAGCCACATTAAGTGTGGAGCCGTGTAAGTACTGGTAAGCATACTAACTTACACATACGTGTAGAAAGATAAAACCAAACAAGGATTATCCTCTTGGCAGCGTTGTGATAGGCAGGGCAAATGGGGTGATACGGTCTCACCAAAACCGAGAGGGTTACTGGAGCCCAAACCCCCCTAGTTTGATGACAAAAGATGACAAAGAACTCGTGACTCTTAAGTAGCAGGGGGCAATGGACGGCGCTAACCACTTAGCATCAGGTGACCCGTCTGCTCGTTTGCACGACCATAGTAAAAATAGAGGGGAAAAAGTACGTTTATCAAATACATACATATAATAAAATGTTGTTTACTTATTATCAATTATGTGTTCCATCGTTGTTGGGAAGACCCATCTATACTAATATTATAAAGCTGAAGAGTTTGTTTGTTTGTTTGTTTGTTTGTTTGTTTGAACGCGCTAATCTCAGGAACTACTGGTCTGATTTGAAAAATTCTTTCAGTGTTAGATAGCCCATTTATCGAGGAAGGCTATAGGCTATATATCATCACGCTAAGACTAATAGGAGCGGAGCAAAAATGAAGAATGTTTCAAAAACGGAGAAAATTTATTACTATTGAGAGACGCAGACGAAGTTGCGCGGGTCAGCTAGTACTTGATAAATCTTTAACAGAAAAACACAATTATCTAAAGGAGATACGTAATTATTAAACGATAAATTCTTAAAATATTATAAGAAGCAACGTTATAGTTCACAATGATGACTAAGTTTTCATGTTATGAATATAATTAGATTTTCCTTCTGCAAGAGCAATGTTTAGCTAGCTGGTAGCTAGCTGGTAACCGCGACTTCGTTCGCCTGAAATTTGAAAAGCGTTGCCTTAGTGGTGTGGTACGCGACTGCAGTCCATAAGGCCTTGGGTGCAATTCCCCTACCGGGCAACATTTTATAGGGTTTTTCTGAGAGAAAAGAGCCTAAGTCACTCCTTATGTAGACAGCTACCTTGTAGTAAAATATTATCAAAATCGGTCCAGCCGTTTTGAAGATTACCCCGAACTAACCGACAGACAAAAAATATTCAAACTGTGAAGGTACTCGTATGAAAAAAACATTCTAACATTATAAACAGATACTTCAATTTTATTTATTTGTTTAGATATGAAAGTGAGTTTTTTTGTTTGTTTGTTATTCTTTCACCCCTCAACTACTGAACCGATTTTAAAAATTCTTTCACCAATGGAAAGCTACATGATCAGCGAGTAACAGGGTACTGCTTTAACGCGCTAACCGACATACACAGCAAAAGCTAGTACATAAATATAATAGAGAAATTACGCACAGACACAGAACAAATGATTGCATACTTCACACGATTATTTGTCCTGGGTGGGAATCGAACCCCCGACCTCTTGCTGGCTGGATCACTAACAACAGGCGAACAGGCCCGCCGGTAATCCTGAACTAATACTTCTCCACGGAAGCCATAATATGTCTGAACCTGAAGGCTAAAGGCTCTCGTAATCGTCGTCTCATTCGATCTTATAAACTGTCTTAAAAGATATTTTCGTAGTGAAATAGTAAAGTATTACAAGACCAGCAGATTACCGATTCAATTTTCGGTTACAATACGAGATAATCACATTACAGTCAACGTTAGATGTTTAATACTTTACTACGAAAATATCTTTTATGACAGTTGTGAGATCGAAAGTTGATCAGAACAGAATTGAGACCTAACTTTTATTACAAGAATTGGCGTTCTGATCGAGTCAGTTATCAAATATGCCTGGCCCGTGCTGTGACCTTAATGTTCTCATTTATAAGTCCTTAATACAGATCAAGAGATATGACTCCAAGCAAGGATTTTGACCTTGTTGAGTCTGTACTCTTTGATTAAAAAAAAACCGTTATATTGTGACTTGCAAAAATCCGATAAAAAATAATATTAAAATTAAGTGATTAACAATACTACAGGTATAGATTTATATCTGATTGTTATGTACAGATAGGTATTAGATTTAATAAATGAGTTAAGAATGATACTGTTTTGAGGATGAGGGTAAGAGAGCTGCTTAAAAAGTGGCACTGATTTCGAATTCGTCAAAATATAAACTGTTTTATTTATTCTTAAATTTACCACTTTTAGTTGTGCAACATTTTCTTTAAATTTAAAAGGCTTCAATCTTGAATAGAAGAAGGAATCATTTTGTAAATAATAGGACATAAATATATGGATCCTAATACAAGTCTTAGATTATTTAAAAATCTTAGATACAAGCATGCCGTACACACAAAATAAAATTTTCGATTGAATTGTAAAAGTCGTTTACTAAATGTCTTCTCATTAACTGTTATTTAATTTTTAAAGTTTTAATAATGGCAATTTATGTCGTCACAAGTTGTCATTTCATACAAGTTCGTAAAGAATCTACACTTATAAAACTTAATAAAGAGAAAGAAATTTGATTTCACATCCCATGACGGTAATACGTTAGGAATTTGAGATGTCAGCTTCTGAAATGATTTGTGCTCATTACATACTTACACATTTAGCCACTTGGAAGTCAAAAAACTATCCCTCCTGGGGTCAGATGGTGCCCACGCGTGCGTCTCGGAAACAAGACATTACAATTTTATTACCAGTAATCATCTTAAGTGTTATCAGCCTAATTGAATAATGCATCGGCATAGTGCCCGCTACCGGCTCTGTTTTGCTAAATAACGGTTATCTGGATTGTTTTGGCTGTAATTTTCTTGTACTTTGGATGACACGGGTCTTGTATTATTAGCTATTTTTAGTATTAACTTACAAGGTCTTCTTCATTAAAAAAATATCGAAGGTTTTTGTATAATAGCAGTTGTAAGCATCTATGTTTTATATATTCATTCTATATATAATTGATTTGAACAAATAAGAGGTTTTTGTTGTTTTAAAAAATCTATAAGGACTTTGTTACCGCCAGGATTACTTTACAAGATGGCACCTAACAATGGCTAAACTG